GGCCCCCCCCCCGCCGACCGATGCCCAGCCAGTTCCTGAGCAGCGGTCACCCCTCCCCCTGCCAACTCCCCCCAGTTCATATACTGAGCATGACATCACATGGTATGGAATAGCCCGTTGGCCAGTTTGGGTCAGCTGTCCTGGCTGTGCCCCCTCCCAGCTTCTCGCTGGCAGGGCATGAGAAGCTGAAAAGTCCTTGACTAGTGTAAGCACTGCTCAGCAACATCTAAAACATCGGTGTGTTATCAACATTATTCTCATCCTAAATCCAAAACACAGCACTGTACCAGCTACTAGGAAAAAAATTAACTCTATCCCAGCCAAAACCAGGACACCACATAACATGCTATTATTGTACCCTACAAGGTTCAGTCCTACCACAGAGATCATATTGATATAGAATAAAGCCTTCTGTCCCTCTAAAAGGATTCAATATCAGGGTAGCGCACAATATTCAGAGACCTCTCTCTCTCTCTCTCTCTCTCTCTCTCTCTCATGTTCATCCTCCAGCTTTTGTTTTTAATGGGTAACCAGGTCAAAGTTGCACCTTTCAACCTTCCATCAACTGAGGAGCAAGGCACATCTTTTTTCACTTCCAATGGACAGTCGTTACACCATTGCCTGGACACCACCACAGCCCCCTGATGAGCTGCCATACCACACACCTGCCCTTGCGCTGCTGCTCTGGATGACAGACCTGCCTCCTGTAACCATATACCAGGCTGGCTCGTTCATGACACACACAAGCAGGTGACCATGTAAGCCACCCCAAGCAAAGACAGCAGCACACCTCTGCATCCTCCCTACAACAAGAAGCAATACTAAACTAGGGTACTGTTGAAGCGAATAAAAAGAAGGAAACGTTGCTCTGTGACATTCTCTGCTTGTACTTGTACTTCGCTTTCCAGAACAAAAGAAAAACCTGCATCAGACATCATTGAAATGTGTAAAAAAGGAAGGACTTTTCCTTAAATAGTATCTAATCAGACTCCAGAAGTGTTTTGCAAGTAGGGTGGTGCTGAGGGACTGAAGAGACCAGCATACATCCTATCAGTAAGGAAACATCTCTGGATGCATTGTCCTGGTGGAAAATTTATATTCAAAAAGCTGTCAGGTAGGAAAATACTGAAATTAATAAAAGCAGGGGCTGAATTCAAGAAACTCCTTTTGCTTTGGAATCTCACCTCATGCAAGGTGAGCTCTGAGACCCTTTGGGGCTGGGTGCCACTGCCAGTACCAGAGGGAAATTTTTCCATTGGCATCTTTGTCAAGATTTCAGCAAAAACGGCCTGGAAGAAAGAACAAGCCATACAAGCTCACCAGGTGCCTCACGTGCTATGGGTAGTTGGGAGAACTTCCATGAAAAGTTTCATCTCAAGTCAAGACAAGACTGTATGGACATTGTCTTCTTCATGGTGTGAAAGAAGTGTGGTGTTACACAACAGAGCGGAAATGGGTACCTTTCCTTGGCTGTTGTCCCATCTCATGGCTACTTCATCCACATTAAAACATTAACTCATGTTTTGCTACAGTGGCTTACTTGTCTTAAATGAGCCAGATGTAAGTACTTTTGAGACACTGCTTTAAAAAAAAACAACAAAAAAACCTGCATCCCCTAATGTGTATCCAGAGTTCAGTCATGACATAAGGAGGAATGGCCATCCAATTCACCAGTGGTAAGCTCTGTTAGTAGCAATAACAGTTAATTATTGTATAGTGCATACAAGGGAAAAATAATTAATGGTCAAGCTTGTAATTAAGGTAATTTGGCCCTGCTAGCAGGTGGCTTTTTCTCAGAATTCAAACCCAAAAATATTTAGTATGGTCTTATTCCCAAAATAATGTAGAATTTAGGTTCCTTTTGAATTACTTACAGAACAAAACCAGAGCATTTTAGGAGCAACACATGGCATGAAACTGTATTATTTGAACCGCCCATCCAAGTCACAAAACTTTGACCTTTACTAGCTTTAGCAGAGTGCAAAAACAATCCTATCCATGCAGTACAGTCAAGCTATAAACAAATTTCAATACTCTACTATTAACCAATCCTAGGAATTTCAGCACAGGAATCGGGGCTCACTTGAACAGTCCTGTTTGTCAGAGGAACATGCTAAAATTGCTATTCTGCACCCAAAACACTTTTGCATGTGACCTTCTGAACTCACTCACAAACAGTGTACAAATGACTCTCATTAACTGCAGTTGAGAAGCTGTGGATGCCAACAGGTAAAAAGCAGAGCTCTCTGGCAATACTGCAGACAGCAAAGCAGCTGCTTCTAGGCTGTCAGTTTAGGAGGGTATGCTTTGGTCTTTGCTGACTTCTTCCACGACACTGGTGCCCACCTGGGTTAGCAGGAGTGGAGGGACCTCCAGCAGGACACACACCACCGAGGGCCTGGCAGCTCAAGCCTGTGGTATCTCACCCTGCTTGCAACAGCTTACTCAGTTTTAGCCAAAAAGCCATACATTTATTCTGAAAAAAAGTCCACTTTCTGCAGTTTTTTGGACTCTGGAATCCCCCCCAATAAAACAATTTAATTTTTTTTCCTGTGGAAGCCTATTTTCTGATTTATTCATCCTCACCAACATGACAAAGGGCTGCCAAAGGAACCTGCAGGGAGCAAAGGGAACTTGTCGGTGAGAAATTTTTTATGGCTGGGGGGCTTTGTCTAGGGCTCACCCCTCAGTTAGCATGAGTGTTATGGTTGAGAGAAAGAGAAAGCCAGAGCTCCCAGCAGAACGCAGGAGGAGCAGGGCTGCCAAAGGATGGGTAAGCTGCAAAGAGAACGTGCCTGGGAGTCACTTTTCACCTGGGCAATGACAACAGCAATTAGCAAGTTGGACAAATATGTTCACATGATGAAAAAAAATTGCAACGTTTCCAAACGTTGTTATCAACTAATGGAAGGTGAATATTTTGCAAAGATTCTCTAGCAGAAATATAGGCTTTGGAGGGAAATAATAAGTTGTTGGGATCTCCATTCGAATTTTAGCTTTGTTCAGCAGAAATAAATGACTACATATGTCAGACTCTGGACAACAACAAAAGAAAGACTTTCCAGGAAAAAACAAACAATGTGAAAAAGGAGGGAGGAAGAAATCTGGAATGGAAAAAATTATAAGGGGGAAAAAAAGTGAAACCCTCTTACACTGTAAACATTTTTCTGCCTGAACAATAAGATAATGTTTGGAGCGATATTGCACTTTAATCCTTCCAAATGCTTTCAGTTTATTAATAAAGTACTTCAATTCTTTATTTTTCAACCTACAGCTCAAGGTAATTACCTCATATATTTCAGGGAAAATTTACAGCTGGTCTTTAATACAGTGTCATTTTAAACTACTATATAATAAAAAAGTATATACACACATATATATATGAGGGGTCATGCTTATTTTCTTGTGTTTCTCTCAAGAAATGAATTTGTTCTCTATCTGCACTAGAATATTAGGTTTCAATTTACATATGCTTCCTGAGCACTGTGGATACAATTTTCCAGCTACTTTGCTTATAAGTTAGTATTATTGATGCTTTCTACTTTCAGAGATTATTTTTTTTGTTTTACAGCTATGTCAGCAAACAAAATACGCATTTGTACACCTTTATGGGCAGCACAGTTTATCTATTAAAACTGGATATATTAATCATTACCCTGTAGTAAAGAATTTATAATGCTCTTATGAATGTATTATCAGTAATTCCGTGTGCTAAATAGATTGCATCATCTCATTCTTAAGGTTTCTAAAAAAAAAAAAGGTTAGCCCCATATAGTTACTGCAGATGTTTCAATTATCCTCTCAAATTTTCACTTTTCCTGTGGAAGAGAGAGACTTTAAAAAAAAAAAAACACCACACTTCATTTCCCTTCTCCCCATCTTAAAAATATCCGGCAATTTTACTTATCTGTATTTTCTGCTAAAGTCACAGGCTTAGAAATTGATCCAATCCGAACATTACCCCTTCAGATCAAGCCAGACAGGTACA